TAGTACTAGTACTTGTACTAGTCGTAGTACTGGTACCAGTAACTAGAACAAACAACTGGCAAGCAAACAACTCGCTGCTTCATGAGATTTGGTCCAGCCAGCGAATTTCAACCGTTGAAATGCAGCCGCGGCTCAGCTCTCATGACTCATGAGCGGTAGGAAGGCAGTGCTAGCGACCCGCTCGTTTAGGGTATCACATCAACTGACTAATATGCAAGAAACAATCTCAAAAAACTTGCTCAACATGGATCTGGTCACAGCGCAGCGTTGCCAAATCCTGCAAGCATTTCACGTCCCACGGCATGCCGCGCCGTCGGCACTCCCCGAGAACACCTTAGGTGAGGGACGAAACACCGTATATGACAAGTAAACTCGACGCCTGAAGAAGTGGAGCAGTGGTCGGGGGGTGTTTGTCTAGGAACCCTGAGTATTCTTCCCAAAGATCCGTGCCCCTAAAATATCCGCTGGAGCCCGCCCCAAAAAAAGGACGTGGGCCTGGAAAGCTCAACCACCCTTCTTGGCTCCACCTTGTTCGGGGCTCCTTGCAGTGATAAAATGAGCGAAACATGTTCTAGACAAGCCACTAATTGACAGATCGAGAACGGTTGTTTCGCTCTTCTCACTCTCGTTTACGCTCCCAAGTACGACCCACTTGGAACGGGGCATGCTACTTTACTCGGCTGATTCGTTATGGGCTTCGTGGGCTTTCTTGAACATTTTAGTCTGAAAGCTTGCTCTGGTTGCGGAGTGGCGGGATTCTACCCATGCCGCCAAGCCTCGAAGGTAACAACCTTTGAACGAGAACCCTAAAGCCGTAAAAACCCCAAAACCGAAAGCCTCTTGTCAACGGTTTACGGATGGGCTGAGCAACGGATCGGATGGGACAGAATGATGGGTCTGCTTGGTATACTATGCTGATTTCCTTCGTGGGTTGTTGCGGGTTCAGGGTTGTCGGAGCTAGAGGGCGTTGGGCTTTTGGGTGTAGGCTTGTGGGTGTCCCTTGTAAACCGATGTGTTTCACACGAGGTGCATTTGCCAAGAGACCCAGTTCGGCTCGCATGAGAACACCCTGGGCCGGACGCCCTAGCCCAAACCCTAAACCCTCCCCCTGAACGCTCCTCTAGTTTGAGGGTTTAAGGGTTTAGGGTTTAGGGTTTTAGGGTTTTAGGGCCTAAGGCCTAAACCCTAAACCCTAGACCCTGGGGTTTTAGGTATCCCGAAAGTTCCGAAGACGGGCCGAAGGAACGGCGGTAGATGGCATCGGCCTTGTCGAGCTCCTTGGCCCGTGCAAGAAGAGGAGGGCCCTTACTGATTAGACAGTTTAGGGTTACACCAAACCCTATAAACCCCAAACTCTAAACCTAAAGCCCTAACCCCTAGACCTAAACCCTAAACCTTAGACCTATATAAACCCTAAGCCCCCCTTATAGGGACCCTTGATAGGTCCAGAGGAGGCCCTCAACCCCCTTGTAGAAACTTTTTGAAACGTTTAGACCCCTCAAATCGATAGAAAAACCCTACTCGGACCTCAAAAGCATCTAGAATATTAGCCCTGTATAGGTTTGGGGCCATGATCTTACCTACTTTTGGGGGGTTTAACCTCCAACCCTAAAACTGAAGCTCTAAAACCCTGCCCTGCAACCCTAAAACCCAAAACCCTGAAGCCCTCAAACCTACACCCTAAACCCCAAAAGCCCTGACACCCAAAACCCCATATAGATGCTTTTAAAGGAACCCTTATAGATCCCTTCCTTATAGATCCCTTTCAAGGAACCCTAAACCCCTATAGACCCCTCTAAAGGAACCAAAACCCAAAAACCGATCCAAAAGCCCCAGGCTCGTAGCATTTGACGCAGGCCAAGGCCAGATCCAAAGCCGCGGTCAACAGCTTTGGATTCCGGACCTGGGGTTCAGGGTTTCAGGGTTTCTGGGGTTCAGGGTTTTAGGGGGTTCAGGGTTTTGGGTTTTAGGGTTTGGGGTTTTGGGTTTTAGGGCTTTACGGCTTTAGGGTTTTGGGTTTTAGGATTTTAGGGGTTCGGGGTTTTAGGATTTTGGGGGTTTCAGGGTTCAGGGGTTCAAGGGTTTTAGGTTTTTGGGTTCAGGGCTTTTGGTTTCGGGGCTTTTCGGGTTTAGAGGTTGGGGTTTAGGGTTTGGGGTTTTAGGGGTTTTAGGGTTTTGGGTTTTTGTTGGGTTCAGAGTTCAGAGTTATGGATTTCAGGGTTGTGGGTTTCAGGGTCTTGGGGTTTTGGGTTTTTGGATTCCGGACCTGCGGTTCAGGGTTTAGGGTTTTGGGGCTTCAGGGCTTCAGGGGTCTAGGATTTTTGGGTTGTTGGGTTTTTGGTGCTTTAGGGTTTTAGGGGTATTGGGTTTTAGGGTTTTAGGGTTTCAGGGATTTGGGTTCTAGGGCTGCAAGGTTTTAGGGCTTCAGGGTTTAGCGTTTAGGGTTTAGGGTTTCGGGCTTTATGGGTTAAGGTTTGGGGCGGCAGAGGTTCCAAGGCCCAACGGGCTCAGGGTGTATGGTTGTAGGGCTTATGATTTTAGGGTTTAGCGTTTGGACGCAATGGGTTTTTTGATTGGGGCTGGGGCCCTGCGACTTCGAAATGCGGGTCTATAGGGGGGTCTGCTAGGGCTTGAGGTTCCGAAGGCTTTAATGTAGGGGGCCTTGATAATTGGAACAAGTTTTTTTGGGGGGGTTCCTGATTATAACTATAGTATACTATACCCCCCAAACCCTATTCTAACTATTAAGGCCCCTACACCTAAGCCCTTATAGTAGCCCTTATAGAACCCTTTAAACCCTAAGCCCTAAACCCTAAAGCCTAAACCCTACACTAAGGAACCCTTCAAAGGAGCCCTGTAGAACCCTAGACGGTAGGCCCCTACATTCAGCTATGGGCCTTTGGAGTCGAGGGCTCCCAAGCACAAAGGGGAAGGGCCTAGGATTTCGGAATTGCGGTTTAGGGTTTAGGGTTTAGGGTTTAGGGTTAAGGGTTTAGAGTTTAGGGTTTAGGGTTAAGGGTTTAGGTCGGATTTGAAAGCGTTTTGGTATGCATTGGGTTTTTTCGGGTTCAAGGGTGTTAAGTTTGGGTCGAGGGTCGGGGTGCATGACACAAGGTCCAGGCTTCGAGGGTTCAAGGGTTTAGGGTGTGAGGGTTCGGGCTTTTTTTGTAGGGTTGACTGGTTCACTTTGGCCCTAAACTTTGAGGCCCTAAACCATAAATCCTGAGCCCTATCAGCCAAATTCTTCAACTCTCAACCCCAAGACCTGTGGCTGAACCCTACAACCCTAAATCCTAAACCCTAAAGCCTTTACACCCTCACAGCGGGGCGGCTCCATCGGGTGTGGCTTCCGCCATCTTCTTGAACTCCCGGGTGAATTCCTTCAGCACTCGACGGTTCCTTAGTTGCTGAGTTCATAGGCACCAAAACGTGTACACGGGTAGTTCTCTAAATTAGGGTCCAACTTTAGGTCCCCAATATAGTACGGCACCCTTCTGAAAAGGACTCTAAAAGGGACCCTAATTTAGAAAACTACCCACACTCTCAGCTCTGTAGGGATCCTATCCGCCAACAATTGTAAAGTGCACCCACTCAGCTGCTAAGGTTCTCCTTCTCCCCGTCGTTGAACTCATGTTCCGACCAGACGAAATCCTCCGAGAGTTTTCAGAACACGGATTCCCAGAGTTTGGGTTTGGGTTTAGGGCTTAGGGGATTGATGGTTTGGGGTTTAGGGTTCGGGTGGCCTGTAAGAAAGACGCTAGAGTTCGTGGTTGAGGGCAACATCTTCGAGCCCAGCCCAGCCAACAAAGGCTACGTACGGCCTTGGGGAAAATCCACAGGCTTAGGGTTTAGGGTTCGGAAGATCAGGATGGTTCAGGGGGCCAAACCGAGAATCCTAAGCCTTACTATAGGGGCCGTAATATCTTTAGAATCGTTTTTTGATGCATTATACAGTATAACCATACAAGGAACCTTAAGAATAATATTAGTGTTGCAATGATTCAAACGCTAATATTATTCCTAAGGTTCCCTGCGTGGCATTTAAGTGAAGCATCCGGAAAAACGCTTTCGGGGGACCTCAGATAGTTATCTAGGGTACATTAATTCAAGCTCCTAAACCCTAAACCCTAAACCCTAAATAAATTCAAAGGTCCAAAATCACCCGAACCGGCATGTAAAATCCAGGACACCGGGTCCAAAACCCAAAAAACAAAAGCCGAGAAACAAAACCTAAGCCCCTTTAGGGCCCTAAATGCCAAAGCCCTGCACCCTAAACCCTAAACCTTTAAACCCCTATAAACCCTAAACCTAAACGAAACACCACAAACTCCTCGCAACCCCACCATGCCTCCTTCCGAAGATCGGCATCCTCCACCTCGCGATACGGCTGAGGGTGTAATGTAGGGGCCTGAATAATAAGAAGAGGGTTTTGGGGCCCATCATACTAGAATTCCAATGAGGCCCCTATGTTAGGGTTTGGTTTCTGGGTGCATGGTTTAGGGTGAGATTTTCGTCTGTTTCTGTTAATGTGTGGGGTTTTGGAGCCTACAAGTCTGCTTTCATTAATGGTTAAGCCAGGGTTAACAGGATCTATAGTTCAAACTACAAGGAAGGCTCGGGATCTCAATTTGTTGAAGTTTAGGGTTTTTAGGGTTGCGGCTTGGGGCTTAGAGGTTAGGGCTTAACTGAACTTAAACTACATTCACCTTTACACCCTGGCACTTCCATCCCCGGCGCCTTAAACACTTGTAGCATATGCAAAGCTGACATAAGGCAGACTTTTCACAGCCGGCCACCTCCGTGGCAGTGGAGGGTACCGCAGAGACCAGATGGCCGCGCCCGGTGCCCACCGCCTCCTCTCGCGGCGCCCTGTGAGGAGCCGTGGCGGAACCTCTCTCGGACTTCGCACTTTTTCATTCTTGAGGGTGCAAGGGGTCTCTAGCGTCTTCGCGCCGAAGCCTCCAGGATAGGACATCAGTGGGTTTTGCTGTTTTGCATTTGGGCTTTGAGGTCTCGGAACCCTGAATAATGAGGTGCTTGTTACGATCTGTCATCAGTTCGAGAGACACCCCCAACCGAATTCTCGAATTCTTTAACTCATCGGCCTGAAGTAGGAGAGTGCGGTGGGCTGCTTGAGGGCATCGTGGGCGTGGATCCGGCAGCATTCGCCTCTCAAGAGCTGTGTGTCATCATGGGGGGCTACTTAAAGGTTCATGGGACTTAGTAACTAGGGTTAGAAGTAAAGTAATGACATTTATAACTACTTATAACCCCAATTAAAGTACATATAACTGACTTATTAAGTCCCATGAACCTGCAAGTAGGTTGTCACAGCTCTTGTGAGAATGCAAGAGGGTCAGCGGCCTTGGGTGCTTTGGGGCATCGGGCTCACCGAGGATTTACACTCGCAAGGCTTGGGCAGCTATGGAGGCTGTAGGGCAACCGCCCATGTACCCATACAGTCAGAAAGTGTATACTTCGGCCAAAGTTCACACTGTGTTGGGCACATGGGTTTCCTACAGACATTGGAGCTATCCGATTCAACAATCTATGGACCCTCAACCAGAGCCTTGAAAGGCAGCGCTGCCCTGCCGCTCCCCTCCGCTGCCCGCCCTGCCCTGGCTCTGCTCTGCCCTTCCCCACTCTGTCAAAGGTTCATGGGACTTAGTAACTAGTAAGGCAACTCTACTTACAAGTTAAGGTGCTCATAACTGTACTTATTCAGTCCCATGAACCTCCAAGCAAGCCCTGCGCAAATGCCCCTGCCGAAGGCTCAAGGTGTCTGTATACTAACACTGTCTTTTCAGGTTCCATATTCGTTGTCGTGGAGGCTCATGGGACTTAGTAAGTACAGCTATGAGTACCTGAATTGGGCTTATAAGTACTTATAAGTATAGTTGCCTTATTTATAACCCTAGTTACCAAGTCCCATGAACCTTTAGGTGTGTTAGACTGTGAGAAACTCTAATCCCTAAACCCCCAAAGCCCCTAAACCCTAAACCCCTAAACCCCCGAACCCCTAGCTCTAAATCCTAAACCCTATACCCTAAACCCCCAAAGTCCCTAAACCCCAATCCCTATACCCTAAACCCCCAAAGTCCCTGAACCCCTAAACCCTATACCCTAAACCCCCCAAGTCCCTAAACTCCTAGCACCCTAAACCCCTGAACCCCTGAACCCCTGAACCCCTGAACCCCTGAACCCCTGAACCCCTGGACCCCTGAAC